GACAGTGCTGTCTGTTTATCTAATGCAATGAGTGCCCAAAATTAATGTCTACTAAAATCCAGACAAATGTCTGATTACACATGAAATAGCTTAATATGATGAACCAAATTCTTTGTTTTTATAATCTGATGCTTCTCCACTGATGTTGAATGAGCAATGTCATTCACGCTCTTCAAATAATATGGTCTAAGTGATTTGGCTGGCCCTTAGGATCCACTGCGATGAGTTGCCGTGAGAGCAAACAGCAGAGCAGCTTGGCTTGGTACAGTGTGGGCAGGGCAGAAGCATCAGTGCTACAGTTCTTCCTATGTTTGTTATCCCAGTATTGCATATTCTTTGTGGTATGCTTTCAAAAGCCAGGTTCAGCTGGTATATGGCAACAGGGAAACCAGAGTCCTAACATAAGGTAGCACAACAGAAATTCTGCTATGTCAGCTCATAACCATCTCAGAGCTGTGTAGTTTCTTTTGGTTTCTTTGCCTCTCTTGTTGTTTGCTTGACTGATGGCATGTGCCAAGGGCAGGACATATTCTTAGGATAGACGTGTCAAGTAAGTTAGTACTAATATTCATACAGAAGCTCAGAAGAACCTTTCTAGTTCATCGTTACTTCTTTGTTCTCTTGCTAGATACTGTTTATTTCTTCTCCTGCCATTCCTGATGCTTTCTGGTATTCTGTGAATACTGGATTTTCTGCAGTGTGTTTATTCCCCTGTCCTCTATCCATGCTACTGCTGTTCAGTTAATGTAAAGTGGATTGATCAGCTACTCTATCTGCCTGTGACTTGCTCACATGTAGAGCTGATGTCCATCAGTGGGTTTGCCACATGCAGAACTGTTTAAATCTTTGTTAAAAAGATGTGAGCAACCACAACACCTTTGCCAGGCTTATTATTTTCTTTTTCTATTCTGCTTTGCCACTAATTTTCTCTCTTTCTAACCCCATTGGAGATGGTGGATGATTGAAAGCAATGAGGGCTGTCCTGTGATGGGTTCTTCCCCCCATGCCCTCAAACATTCCAGCTTTCCAAAGTCGGCATTTCTGCAGTGTTGACTGTTGTAGTTTTAGCTGTGAGAACCTTACAATAAAGTCTCTTGGGTCTTTTTTTTTTTTTTTCCCCCTTATGGCTCGTCTGAATGTCTGAGTACAATATACAATCTGGCTCATCATCAGGGTATTTTATCTTGGTGTTGACAAGTGCCATCTTCTGTGCTATTGCGAGCTTTTCTTTTGGGGACGCTGTGAGAAAATTCAGCCTTTCTCGATGGGTAGCTCAGGCTGTCACGTCAAGTCTCAGCACTGCAGTAGTTGCAATAAGAGACCACGAGGTGGGGGAAGAAAGTGAGTCTGTTTTCACTGCATGCCTGCATAACACAGCCATGGAAATAAATACAGGGGCTTTTGTTTAAAAGTTCTTTCTGAACAGGGAAAATGTGTCATGAATCTCAGAATTTCAGAGAATTTGGGCTTTAGAAATTTAGCAGTGTATGTGTCTAAAAGGCAATAAAAACAGATGTAATGGTAAAATATGTGTCCAGAGGAATTTCTGACAGAAAACAGATGCTTTAAGGTGAAACTAGCAGTTGAGAGGAGCCTGCAAGGTTCTGCAGGAGAAAGAGCATGCTAGCCTTGCGGTCTGACCACTTTGTAATGGTAGTTCAAGGAATTGAAACTTTATCTTTGGACAGTTGCAATGCTTCTCAAGGGGTTAAAATTTCATACCTTATCATGCCATTTGTGGTTTGATACCAGCACCCATGGACACATTCCAGCTGATCTTATCACTTAATTATATCATGTCAGTTATGAATCAGCCAAAGGAAGCACAACGGACAGAGGATTAATTCTTGATTTAGATAGATAAAGGGCTAGAGAAAAAATAAGCTTGGTATTCAGCCTCCTCTGAGGCAAGCTAGTCATTCACAGACAAAATAAAGGTCATAGACTTCAAAATTAACAATTAAAAGGTCAATTAAATGATCCTACTATACTCAATTCTCAGACTACTAGATTTCTAAATTTAGAAATCTTGCCTACCAAGTTTATTTCCAACTGCCGATTTTTTTTTGCATAACCGATTATAGTAGCCTATATGGAATTTACTTTATAATATACTAATGGTACAAGACAAAATTTAAGATTTCTTGCTATTCTGTTTCTGGCATTTTATTCCTCTACATCATCACTTACCTCTTTGTTTCTGAATTACATTAACAGCAGGAGTAGAAAAGTGAGATAAATCCTGGTTTGGGCTCTGGAGGCTGGGTAGTGAAAAGGCTATTCCATCCCTTGAAATATGTGTCGGGTTGAGATAGACATTAAATAAGAAGGAGGAAAAGAAAACATTATTTTTTGATAAAATAATGCAATATATTCAGTGTCGCCTTTGGAGGAGAAGAGTTGCAATCACCGCAGAGCAAAAATCTTGAAAATCCCGCAATCCCAAATATGACTGAAATTCTGGTGTACCCAAAGGAATACCCTAACGTCATCTCACTTCATAGGCTGTCTTTCTTATTGTTTTCCTTATATGTACCTTTATTTTTTGCATCATGCCAGAGCCTCATCATGACATAGTAGACCTCACATCCAGGAAGGATGGTTCAGCAAAGCCAAGGAGGCGTCATATTCCAGTCTGCCACATTTTAGCTGCAGGCTCTAACTTTCAACTTACCAAGTAGCAATTGGGTAGCTAGAATATTAAGGCATGCTGGGTGTCTGTATAGAATCAGAGAAGAGTCAGATTCTATAGAATCATAGAATCGTTACTGGAAAATTATTATTGGATTGGAAAAGACCTTCATGATCATCAAGTCCAACTGTAAACCCCTCACCACCATGCCTGCTAAACCATGTCCCTAAATGCCTCATCTGCATGTTTCTTGAACACTGCCAGGGACTCCATCCCTTTCCTAGACATCTAGAGAGCTTTGCTGTCATGCAGGGATGGTCAGCTCAGCCTGAGCTGAGCAGCAAGTGGACTAAGCCTGCATGGAGTGAGCTTTCAGCTTTGCAGCATCCTGGTTACTAGACACAGCTGCATCGTTGCTCAAACCTGATCTGATATCCCTGCAGCGTATGCCATCGCCTTAGGCTTTCTGACTCACAGGATTTCTTCTGAGCCTCTCTGCTGGCCTGTGTGCCCTTCTGAAGGAATTGCTCCTGGTTTTTTTGTGCCCAGGGCAGAGCTGACGAGTAACATCTGCCCCACTGGGTCATCAGACCGTCAAGAGCATCATCCACTGTTTCAATACCTGCTGATAGGACACGTTACCAGCAAAGTCAGGCTCCACTGCTACAGGAGAAAAATAGAAGAAATCTGTGCTTTTGTTTGAACTTTTCAGTTTTCAGCTGCAGTTGATGATGCCAAGAACTCACGGATTTTCCTTGTTAACAAACAAGGAATTTGATACAGACTTTTTAACTTTTAAATGTCAACAAAGAAACACATACATTTGCTAAGGCCTAGAGCTACCAACTAGTGCTTCAGAAAACACACATTTGCAGGGTGTGAAGGAAAAAGTATCATTACATTAATCTTTTCTGTGCTCAGGGTATAAATGATGCCTCTCGACACCAATTATTATGTCAACAAAATATGAAAGTGTAATTTTCAAGTTGATTGAAGTTGAGGTAATATACCTAATGGAGTGGATCGCTTGCACATGAAGCCTAACAACTTGGTTTACAGTGTTAGGGGCTATAAATCATGAAGCCAGAAGCCTACTGTTTAGAAGCTGTGCTAAACACTGACATGAGTGTGCCCTTGCTGTCCATTGAAATCAATCTTTGAAATGCCCTGAGGGTGCCCAAAAGAAGGGCAACATTATATTAATACATTAATATACAGAACATGTATCACTGCCCTGTTTTCCAGAGTGATTCTGAAGACTTCTCTCTCTTTTTTTCTTTTATTGGTATAGTTCAATTTATAGTCCTTTTTTTTCTCTATTTAGATTTCTTTCTTTCTTTTATTTTTCTAGTCACAGTGTGATAGAGATTTATGTCATTCTTTTTAATAATGAAATTTGCACTGTAAAGCATAGGAAGATAAAAAGGACTTAGATATAGTGTGTACGTGTATATATATATATATATAATGTATATATGTATCAACACGCGTGCACACACACTCATATATATAATATATTGGATGTCAATCAGAGAATTGTGCCAGAAAAAATACAGGAGATTGTGAAAGATGGAGGAAAAGGCCCACAACATTAACAGAAGGGCTCTCTCCCTTTAGCATAAAGGATAAAACCTGGTAAATAATAGTGAAAAAACAGAATTGTATTCTAATGATACTATATTCCAAATATTTGTTCCGGTCTTTAGGCCTTTGACTATAGAACTTCAAAGTAACTGAGCAGACAGTAACTGATTGTAGGGAATACAGGTAAGCTGAGGAATAAAAAAGTAGAAAAAAGTAGAGAACTGGTGATATTTTAGCTGACAAAGCTCAGGGGTGTTTATATGATCTTCTCAAAATAGTGTCCCTATACAACATGTAAGGGATGATACTGATTTGCAGAAGGAAGATGGTGGCATTGACAGTCCAGATGTTAAATAAACTTGTTTCTACTCAGACATCCAAATATGTGCAGTTTTTGGAAACAATTTCAGAGCATGCAGTCAGACATTGGTAAGTAACCACAGGAGAATCCCTGGATGAAATAAGACTCAAAAGCAAACTCTTGTCCTGTAGACTTCATTCGTCCTCTGTGGCTGAGAATATGACAAGAGAAGCCTTTCAGGGACTGTGTGCATCTTTCTCTAGGGATGATTTAACATGTTTCTTTCATCCTAAACTGCTGAACAAATAAAACCGTGTGTAGGAAAGCCAACCTCGTAGATAAAGGCAATGAACCATAAAAGGAAACCCTATTCCTTCAAATTTATTGAGGATCAAATGTAGATATCTTTCTTTATGTCAGATAATGCCTTTCCATTCTCTCTGAGCAGTCAAGATACAATAAAGTTTCCAAATGGGAGTCACAGTGCCAAGCATGGCAACTCTGTGAGTATTACTGTTGAATCTAGCTTCTGTGTGTTTAAATATAACATAGGTTAGAAGCACATATTTTGAATATAAACATTTCTGTTAAGACAAATATTGAGTTTAGAATCACCATCAACAATATAGCAGATATTAAGTCTTTTTGCATTTCACATTATTCACTGTTTCCCACATTTCCAATTTTAAGAGTGTATGTATATATTTGTGTGTGGTGAAGTGCTTGCTATATGGTATTTTGTTCTATGCATATTTTAAGAACTTGAAAAAAAGACTCTACCCTGCACTCTACCCTGCAGCATATTCTGAACCAGCTTTGACACTTTTGGGAATTCATCTGGCACTTCTGTAAAAGAGATTTACTGTTCCCAATAGAACCTCAAAGGAAAAGAATGATCCCATTTTAAAGAAAGTTTTTCACACAGTGAATAAAGCCCTAAGGAAGTGCAGAGCCAGTAGAATGTTCTTCTACTTCCTCTCTTGACTGCCATGCAGTGATTTTTTTCTTGGTTTCACATTTAAGGCAAAATTATGCTGCAAGAGTGTGTTATAGTAGAAGAAATTAGTTTGTTAGATTTGTTTTGAAAGTGCAATTTTTCCCCAGTCTGCTCCCTTATTTTTCTTTCCCGCACGTAGAAACTATAGTACAAGATTAGAACATAAACTCTTATTGTTTAGCTCATATCAATATAATTCATAAGCACTCAAAATTTAAGTAGCATGACAACTTTGCTCCTGATCTCTGCTTATACTATACGTACTGGCATTAAAGATTCAATAAAGGGAGATGGGCCATTAAAGGTTCATTGGTCCACACAAGCAAGAATGCCTTGATGTCACCTTTTGCAGTGTTACAGAAACTTCTGTCATTGAAGACCATGGAGGCTGAGCCCAGGAAAGGAAGTTATGAATTGCAGTCTTACTGACTCAATTCCTCTACAGTTTCAGTTTTATATGGTCTATCTTTTTCTCTTGTAAATGGTTTTATAGTGCTCCTGAGTGCTGTTCAATAGTTTCCAGGTTTCACATTAGTGATGGTAAATGGGAATGGATTTTATTAAGGTGAAGTGATTAATACCTATTTATGTTTCCATCAGCTGTTGTTGAAAGCATTTTGCGTTTCCTCAGGATTAAAAAGATATTATACTTGCAAATCAAGAAATTATATGGACCTTAGTTTTATGGGAATCTAGTGTTAAAAAGGAAGACGGGTGTGCATGCTCAGCAGAAGCTGTAAAGGAGAGGGAAATTAGGAGCTCCCATTCTGCTTGCCTCCTACAGTAAGAATATGAGGGATTTCAGGGAAACGAAGCAATTGCTGAAAATTTAGAACCAGAGCCTATAGGCTTTGAATCTCAAGTACAGTGGAGATGATTCAGAAAAGATCCAAAAGAGAAACTTGAAAATGTTAAAGGGAGAGATTAGAGGAATCTAGTCCATTCAGTTTAATTTGTGCCAAGGCTTACCTATTGTGGGAATTCATAATCTAACTATAGGAGATATCACTGAAGTTCTTCAGAATTGTAATAATATTCAAAGGGAAAAAAAAGGGTTTTATTCCTCAATTCCCTATTTTACCATCTATATGCTGAAGACTAAAGGGGAGCAGCCATAGGGAGAAAAAATACCTATTGATGGAGTAAATTGAGACTCAGAGAATATAACAGAGGTTTCTTTGGTCTCGCAAGGGTGAATAATATCCAACAGCCAGTAAATCAAATTAAATGCAAACTAGAAACAGGACAGATCTTTTTAACAGTAAAACTAATCAGATATTGATGCAGTTTATCATGGTTGTATATTACCATCACTGAAATATTTATAGTCAAGACTGGATTTTTTTTGAAAAATCATCCTCGAAAATTTAAAACTATATAATACTGTATTTTACAGTGGATTATCCACTTGGTACAGATACATCCCTTCGACTCTTACTGAAGCCTTTGCATTTCTTTTCAGGAATCTTGTATATGTAAAAAATTAATCACTTATTCCAATTACTTGTAATTAATATGTGTGGTAAATGAATGGCATGTATGATTTTTTTTTAATCTTGACTTGTTTTTCTTTCCCCAGAGATGTTTAGGAGAGATTTAATGTATTCATTAGCAAAAAGTTAACAGTTATTTAATGTAATTACCATCATTTTTCCTATGTGGGAGATTCCCTGTTCAGACCAGAAAGCCTTGCTTTAATGATAAGAGCACAAAAGAGTATGGGGAAGCTGACTGTAGTAAGACAAAAAAAAAGGTGCTGAAAATTGAGAAGGGGACACCAGAGTTTAGTATAAACTGGAGAGAAAACTGAGGGAGCAGTACATGCAGATATGTCCTCTCCTGAACATTAAAATGTCAAAGGTATATTAATCCTGTGAAATCATGCTCACCAAGAGCAAAAGTAAAATTCCTGTTTTGCTCACTGAAGTATTGCAGTGTCCTGCACAAAGAGCTATTGTTGCTAATTGAAAGGAGAGGGCTTCATGATTGCATCAGATTCAGAACATGCAGGAAATGTTTCTGTCTCATTTACTAATTCTCACAAGTTGCCAACTGGCAGTTTTCTCAAAAGCCCTTTATTTTTTCTAAAGTGGACCAGAACATTCATGTGAAATGCTAAAGTCAGAAAGCTTAACACCATTTAAATCACACTTCAAAGACCAAACTGGATGATAGACTTTGAAGATGTGTGTCTTCCACTCATCGGCTCTGATAATTCCCCCAAACATGGTTAATCAGTTGCTCTTTCCAGTATGTCTGCTGTGTCATTCCATACTTGATTTTAGAGCTAGATCTAATGACAAGAGGATAAAGAAAGGCAGGAACACATTGCATGCTGGTATAGAAAACACGTGCTGCGTATGGCCCTTTTTGTAATGAGGTGCATGAAGCTGAGGAGGACGTTGCTAAACTGGAAAAAAAAAGGTTTGAAGGTGATGACCCCAAAGATAAGAACATCCCCCTTCCATGTTCGTCCTTTCCTAGTTTTGGAATCTACTCCAAAATACTCCATACTACTCCATACTCCATTACTACTCCATACTAATGGTGACGAAGCAGGGATGGCTGAGTTGAGTCCCTGTGTCATCGGATCCATTTAAATATCCTTTCATAAGTTTGCTGTCTTCCTTTTCAAGACCCTTTTGTAGGGTAAATTAAGATTCTAACATTTTTTCTAAGTAAGTTATCCAGCAGCTTATCTCCTTTTGTTATCTGTTTTGTTCAGATGTGGATACTGCCAGAAGAAGCATATTTCTTACAAATGGAGGGAAAAATGTGGCAGTGAGTTAATGGTTTAGGAATGTCTATCAGTGCAATTAAAAATCATTGTACATCTATCTAGCCTTTTAAAAAAGCTGAGAATGTTAAAAAGGGGAATGTTCTTCCTGAGACTGCTGAAATTAGCAGTAGAAATAATTCTAATTACATTTTAAATTATAGGATTTTAAATCGTGCATGGGTACCCTTTGGCTCATTTACTTGATTTTTTTTTTGTCTGTTTGCTGCTGGCCTTGAATAACCTTGCAGCCGGAAAAGTCCTTTAAAACAAGGAGGAGTGGGAATAAAGAAGCTTTTTTTCTTTTTTCTTTCCATCAGCAAAACCTCTCATAGAAGCTGAACAACATCCTCTTTATCAAGATTATGAGTTTCCACATCTTGGCATTCTATTTCCTTCCTCCAGTGCATGCCAGCAAGCTGAACTTAAAGTGATAAAGGTAGAAAGTAAGACATATATAGGGCCGTCCTTATTCACTTATGGCAGAACATTTATTTGCATGAATAAGGCAAGTAGGATGTAACTTGTGTTGTAAACTGTGAACCGTGCAAATCTGTTTCAAAAGGTGACACATCTGTGATGTTCTGCCTTGCAGTTGAATAAATTGATCTTATCTGCACATATCTGATTGAAATAAAATGGCTGTCAGTCTTCTGAGCCGTTTTAGAACAATTCTGCATCTTATCCGTGGCACAGCATTGACTTGCATTGATTGGGAAAATGTAGTGGTTAGACCTAGCTGATGCTAAGTGAGAGAAATAGTAACTGACAGGCCTTTGCATTATTCATGCTAAATGCATACTGCTGAATCATGAGGATATTTTCATGAAAAAAATCTGAGCATTTTATACCAACAGATAGTCTTTTTTTTTATTCTCCATTGACTTGTAGAAAAGGATATGGCAAGCAGAGTTCCGTAACATCAAACACACTGTTTCTAGCTTATTGAATCACTGGTGCTTCAACTTGAAAATTAGCAGTGGGACAAACTGTGACTTGAAAGATTCACCATGGACATGAAGGAAAGCTTCTCCAGTAGCATAGTGTAGTGCAGGAACAGGTTACACAGAGAGTCTCCATCCATATTGTTTCTCAAGTCTAGGATAGGCAAGGCCAGGGCTGACCTGATCAGCTGTTGGCGATATAGTCCTGCTTGGAATAGAACATTGGAATAGATGTTCTCCAGAGCTCCATTTGAACCAACATTTCTACAATTTTGTGTCTTTCTCCAGAAAATATATATGAACTATGCTCTCATTTTCATTACATTTTCATTTTTCAAGTATAAGCCCTTGCATTTATGTGAAAAAATGCACCAGAAATACCACCTATTTTTGTGTGATAAAGTGTCAGCCTTTTTAATACTGAAGATAAGATTTATTCTCTTGAATTGCTGAAGAAAAATACATTATGTCAGTGAAGGAATAAGAAGAATGATATTAATTTAAATCCTACTGTTGTTACAATGAAATTCAAAAGGCAATGTGGCTCCATAATAAGGAGCTAGAAACCTGTGGTTCAATAGTCAGTATTGATTTCTCTCTTATTGATTTCCATGAAACCAAGTTTTCGTTCTATGGCATGAAGAGTCCTACAAGGACTTTGCAGCAATTAATTTCATTTTAAGCCTTTCTCTGATGGCTCAAACAGCATTTTTAAATTAATTATGCTAGTTCTTTATATAAAGATTATTTTTTCCATTTGTAATAGATTTAAAGAAGTATAGTCTC